ATTCAAGCACATTACATTTATTGTGCACTTTATTTCTATTATTACACTGTAATATATAATGAAATAATTATGCAAGTCACCATAATGTAGAATCAGAGGGAGGAAGCCCTGAGTTTATTTTCTTGCAACTAGACAGTCCCATCTGAGGGTGATGGGAGACAGTGACAGGTCATCAGCTGGAGTTCAGGCTGGCCGGTTCATCCCCTTCCCCTGGGTGCATGAGACAGGCAGGGCAGAAGAGGCACACGCACCACAATTTCTTATGCATTCCCACAAAGTGGATTCTGCAGGTCCAGCTAATCTGGTTGAGCAGCTCTGCTAGGGAAGGGCTTCAGAAGAGCTGCTGTAGGTTTGGGGTTGCGATGAGTGGTCATGCATCTACAAAGATGGGGTGGTCACTGAGTGGGTGGCTGAGTGTCTTCCCACAGACCCCGAACCGATAGCATGTCAGAGGGTCATGGCAGGCTGGCAGGGACCCACTGATTCAGGTGAAAGCCCCGTGTGTGTTCGATGATTTGGCCTTGCCAGTCCTCAGCCATGATCACAAAGAAGCACGTGAGGTCCCCATGCCTGCTGTGGTCCCCAGAAGGTAGGTTCCAGCTGCTTATGTTGAGCACTTTCAGGCACTGCAAGGGATGCAGGAATGGTCAAGTGTGAATGCACCGCTCCTCCTGGAGTGTGGCCCTCCGCCCCACTGAAGAGCCTCCTCCTTGCTCCTCCAGGGAGTCCCACCTTCCAGTCACAGATCTGGGACTGCAGGGGACACCGTGGCTGCTCCTGGCTCCCTGGAAGGATGTGCCCAGGTGGTGTGCCTCTGAGGGGGTTCATCTTCAAGCCCTTCTGAGGGCCCCACGGCCACTGGTCAGCACAAGGAAAGGATGTCCAGGGCCAGTTATCTCTCTTCCCAAATGGGGTCCTGGTCTGGGTGCCTCCGCAGACCCCTCCAGTGGGAAGGCCTATTTCTCACCCCCCTCACCAGTTCCCGGCCCCCATGCTTTCTGCACTTCTGCACAATTCCCAGCCCCAGTGCCTCATGCACCTCCCAGGTCAGCCCCAGTGAAAATGCTGAGGAAGGACAAGGGGCTACCCTCAGCCCTGTCAGAGGCATCAGATGGGTCCGCATCCGTGCTCTTGTGCAGATTTCCGCCCTGGTTCACATGTACGGGGCCTCACACACTATAGGGCTCTGTCGGGAGGGAGGTTCCCGGGGCGCTGAGTTCTGGAACAACCCACCTAGCACAGAGCAGAGTGTTATTATGCAGTGGTTTAATTTTGCAGGTGTGTTATCATGCGTGATTAAATTTTCAGCTTTACACTTTCATTTTCAAATTCCACTGTGAACACTAGAAATCTGGTATACACACACACACACACACACACACACACACACACACACATATCTGCCTGCTGGCTAGCAGGGATCCTTGTTGGCAAAGAACCTTCTCCCTAATGTCTCTAGAGGACACCCAGGCATTGGGGGACCGGCAAGGCCACCTCCTCTGTGTGGGCCCCTGTCTCAGGTGGGCAGGGCCGTCAGAGCTTCAGGGCCTTCACAAGCTCACCCTGCTCTCCTGGGGCAGCCCTCATGCAGGGGTGGCCTGAGGACTTCCCAGGGTCCCCAACTTGAACACTGCCCCTCCATGTGTTTCATGGGATTTTGAATGGCAGATATTTAGGGGGAGGAGAGAGGTTCTATGATCACTGAATAGACATTTTCCACAGAAGATACACAGTTTGCCAATAGGCTCAATTTCATTCGTTGGTAAGAAAATACAAGTCAAACCACAATTAATACTAATTAACACCCACTTAAATGGCTATAGCAAAGATACAATGACAAATGTTAGAAAAGAAGTGAGGAATATGGAACTCACATATGCTGCAAATGGGAATGTAAAATATTGTAGCCACCTTGAAAACTAAACTAAACAAAACTAAAATGGGGCTATCCCTCAAAATGTTGCACATAAAATCACTAGAGGACACAGAAACTAACCCAGTTAGTATGCAAAAGAAATAAAATTCCTATAGTCATAAAGACTCTTACATGAATGGTCATAACATGTGGTCTGGTCCATGCAATAGAACACTACTTGCTATCCAAGAGGAATGATGTAATGATACACGCTACCACAGAAAGGAAACCCAAAATTATTAGGCTGACTGAAAGAACCAGACCCAAAAGACCACATAATTCATAATCCTGGGTATTAGACATTTTGATAATAGGCTCATGTATAGAGACATAAAATTGACTGTTGTCTAGATCTGACATGGCAAAGGAGAGTGAATGCAAAGTATACCCCAGTAAAGCATTTAAAAAAATAAACATATCAACATACACTAAGGTACTTCCGACTTTCAGAAACCCAAGTCACAGATTGTAAAAATAAACTTTTCCGGTTCAAAGCATAATAAAGAAAAAGGAGGCAGCAAGCTAACAGCCACATGTTTGGTTACTGACGTAGGGGTATTAATGGGCAGGAACCATGTGATTCATTTAACCAGGTCAGAAAAGCAAAGGAAATGATTTTAATTTGTTGAAGACAGCTGTGACTCACAGACTGTTAGGAATGTGAAGCTGTACTCATAGGGTTGGGCATATCCCCTATCAAACACAGCTCAGAAGAGCCATCTCACAGGAAGGTTAGCAAGACCCTGCTGGTCCCAGTTGCCTGGAGCTTTACAGTTGTCTATCCCAGCCTTAAAACTACCTTCAGTCACTCATTCTAAACCCAAAATAACAATGAAATCCAATACAAAACCCCGTATTTCCTGACTACCGCATTCAATAATTTGCCTTTTTTTTTTTTTTTCCAGCCCTCCGCATTACTTCTGTTTGTATCCCTACCTGGCATGGCTGGTTCCGCAACAAGACTCTGTGTCAAAAATAAAAAGAATCTCTGGAGCTCAGGCTGTGGGTCTGCGTTTGGTGCCAGGCGCCCTCCCTGTCCAGCGCAGGAGCTGTGCGGCGGACTTGGTGCTCGCAGGGTGCAGATGGCCCCTGACAGTCCCTGGAGCCTGGATGTCACCCTGCACCAGGCCTAGGTCCCCTCAGTGCCAGCCCCGGGGGTCAGATCTGCAATGAATACTGCGTCTGGCTGAGAAGGAGCAGGGGAAGCGCCGGATCCACCCTCAGACCTGCACATCGCCAAGAAAACCCAATTCCAATTCCACAATAAAAGGATGCAGAGGTGTACAGCTCCATCTGTTCCTGCTGCCGGGTTTCCAAGGGTTGCCCTTCTGTCCCCCAGGGCTCAAGGAGCTTCCCCGCACAGGAGCATTGGGACTCCACAAAGGGAGTTTGTCAAGCGCCAACTAGGCGGTGGGGAGGAAGAAGCCAGTTTCATTTCCTTGCTCCAGGACCTGGAAAGGTCTGACCCTGGAAAACACCCCACCCAGGGTATCGGTGACTTCAGGAGCCCCAGAGATCCATCTCTCAGACACCCTGCAGAAGGGCCCTGCAAGACAGGACCTGTTTAGGCCCCTTCCTTCCACCCCAACCCTTGTGGGGCCCATTATTCTCCTGAGAGCTTCCCTAGGTTATTTCCACCCACCCCCGCATTGACCTCCAGCCTTGGAGCACCCTCACACTTTCCCCGCCTGTGGAGACTCCACAATTATTCCCCTCCAAAGACCCCTCCCAAAACTGCCTCCTGGCATCAGCGATGCTTTCACACCTTGGTGACTGCCTAGGCCACCCCCTTCCCTGCCCCAAGCACCTCTGAGTCTCCATCATGACTTCCCCAGGTCTAGGGCTGTACTGAGACTGCACAGCGACCCCGACACACAGGGCTTTCCTCCAGCACTCCCTCAGACATCCCGCCCACCCTACAGGGGAGATGAGGCTCCACCGCCCCAAAAACGCGGCTTTCTGGACCCGCACAAGGCACCTCTGTCACACAGGGGTGACCCTAGGAATCCCTCTCCAGATATTCTCGGGCCTTCCCCCAAGGGAGACACCAAAGGTGGAGGAATCCCCTGGAGAGGATCCTCAGAAACCATCCTCAAAGCCACCATCACAACCAGAAAGACCCGAGGAAGAAACGTGACCACGAAACCCATCTCCACATACACACTCCTCCCAGCGGCAGTTCTAGGGACGCCATTCATGGTCACCTCACCCCATGGTGACCTGAAGACGCTGCCCCCAGGTTAAAGGGAAAAGAAAGGAAGAGTCCAGCAGAATTCCTGAAGGAAAATCCATTTTCCTTTATTCATTATGCATTGGAGCTAAAGCGCAGGGCACGAAGGGTTTTATAGACAATTTTAAGTTCTTAGTACAGTTTTCCACGGAAACTTTAAAAATTAACAATGAAAGAGATCATAGATAATAAACCCATCATAAGTACATTATCACTAGGTTTCAGCAATTCTCATTTTGCTGTTTAATTTCAAGTATCAATTCCAAATATTCTAGGAGTTTTTTACATCAAATATCAGATACAATATCATTAATTATGAAAGAACATACGTAACTATCTAACAAGTGAAGCTGAGAAAGAAAATATCATTATCACATCTAATACAAATGTTAATATTTAAAATAGATGAATTTGTGTATTCACCAAAGAGTAGACTCTACAAGCACCGAAGGCTTTGCATGAAACGTTTTAACATGTTTCATTTAATATTTCATCTTCAGACACAAAATATCGATACATGAAAATATTCAGTTATGTATACAGAGCCACAGACTATGTTTGGAGGAGGAAATCACAAATCAACAGTGGGATATTCCAAACCACTTTATTGTGAACGTAAATGCAAGAGGCCGGGCACGGTGACTCCCACCTGTAATCCCAGCAGTTTGGGAGGCTGAGGCAGGCAGATCACGAGGTCAAGGGATCAAAACTATCCTGGCCACCATGATGAAACCCTGTCTCTACTAAGAATATATAAATTAGCTGGGTTGGTGGTTCATGCCAGTAGTCCAAGCTACTTGGGAGGCTGAGGCAGGAGAGTCATTTGAACCCGGGAGGTAGAGGTTGCAGGGACTGGAGATCTCGCCACTGTGCTCCAGCCTGGCAACACAGCAAGACTCTGTGTTTTGGTATGACCAGTATGGGCCTGGGGGAAGATGAGCTGATTTCATCTCTCCCTTTATTACCATGAGGTGGGAGCCTCATTTCACATATACAGATTCCCTTCAAAGACGAGATGAACAGGCCTGAGCCCCCATGGAACTTGGAGTAATGACAGCCTTGTCCCCATGCATTCTATCTTCCCACACTTGTTGTTTCGGGCCATCGTGCATTCAGTGCCTCTGTGGACAGAGATCCAAACCCAGGCACTCTCACAAATCTGGGGCCAATTCTATAGTTTTTTGAATTCCAGCTCAGTTCAGATTGTCACCTGCTTGGGACTGTGGGTGACTGTTGACTCTGCACTGGGATGTGGTGTGTCCATGTGACAGTAGTCTTCCCCAAGAGTTGTTCAAGAAGGTAGTGCCCTAGGAATGCCATCTGGACTCAGTGGAACAAGAAGGGCAGGTAGCACCTGGCACCCACTGTTCATGCCACCATCACCCAGCTTCACAGTGTGGTTATCTGAAGAAATCTGTGCTCTATGAAAATCCTAATCAACAACAACAAAATCAACAATAGCAACAACGACAACAAGAAAAATTTTAAAAAAAAACATAAAAAAAGAAGATCCTAATTTTCCTGGACTTTTTCAGCAATAGAAGTGATATTTTGTAGTCTTTACAGTTGACGAGTCCAGGATCTTATAATGCTAATTTCTGTCTTTAAGGTAAGATGGCATTAGTATGCCGAATAGCGATGAAATCCATGCTGGCGGCCCTTCTCATAGTGGCGACATCTTTATGCAAGTCTTTGTATTCACATGGCGGTGACATAGCCTAGGAAAGTCAATTAAAGAGAAAATGGGTACAATTTTTAAAAAGGCTCCAACATTTTTAAAAAGGCATCATTGATGAGAAGCCACACATACAGATTCCTTTGGAGGGTTCCCTTGTAGCTGCTTTGGCTGAGTTTTACAGTGCCAGGTTCTGAGGATGCAACTCCCTGCCCATTCACTAAGGTAGTCTCCTTTAAGAGCTATGAAAAGATTGCCAGAGGCAAGACAAACTTACTTTATAGGTTGAAAATTGGGCTCATTGCTTGGTGATACTGTCACATAAAAAATAAAATAGGGCTCCAAAAGATTTTCAGAGTATTGTGACAAGCTTGTAACAATATTATCTGTTACCTGTGCACTTGTTCCTTCAGCATAATCAACATACACTTGTGCCAAACAATCAACTTACTCAGTGATTCAAATTCTACCGAATCCTTAGTAGTTACTACACACTCCAAGCAGATTTTAATGAGGCAGGTGCGTGCTGGGCTGCTTGAGAACACCCAAGAAGTCTAATGATTGAAGCACCACAAGGTGCTACTTTACTTGCACATTGTGGTAGAGAAATGTATTATTCCAAAGTACCACCGAGACACCAGAGACAGTGCCAATTTTAAATGTGTCTGTCTCAGTTGGAATTTTCCTGTGTACTCACCAAGAGTCATAAGCCATAAATCTTACATTGTCCCATGAAGCCATTTTCACTGAAAACTCATGTCGTTCCTACACCTAGTACTTGAAACACTGGCACCTTATACAGTCTAAGCACAAGTCTCTCAGCCACTACTGCTTTGTCTGATAAACTCCTGGGACTGCACCGAGATATACAGAATAGACAAGGACACGAAAATGCAATTGCTGAAGTAAAAGACAGTCAAGAGCATTAAGTGCATTGTCCATTTAGATATAATTAGGAATACAACTGCATTTATTCACGAATGCTATGTGAATGGGTAGAAATTAAAAACAAAACCCATTAAGAACAGATTAAATTTAACAAAAATTATTCTGAATTATGGTCAAAGCAGTGAGAATATCAATAACGTTTTAAAATACAGATCCATGGCCGGGTGCAGGGGCTCATCCCTGTAATCCCAGCACTTTGGGAGGCCAAGGTGGACAGATCAGCTGAGGTCAGGGATCGAGACCTGCCTGACCAACATGGAGAAATCCTGTCTCTAATGAGAATACAAAATATCCGGGCATGGTGGTGCCTGCTCATCATCCCAGCTACTCGGGAGGCAAAGTAGGGGAATCGCTTGGACCCAGGATGCAGAGGTTGCAATGAGCTGAGATTGCACCATTGCACTCCAGCCTGGGCAACAAGAGCGAAACTCCTTCTCCTAAAAGAATAATAATAATAATAATAATATGATTCTTGTATAATGCATAAAAGACTTGAAATATGATGCCAAAAAATAAGCACTTTGGTCTGTTAATTTTAAGGCTTTCATTTTCCTAATCACTACTTAATATGATTTTGTCACAGATGTTGGCTTTTGCGGCCAATGGGAAACTCCACTAAGTGACTTCACAGCCTTACCTTCAATCTCTCTGCTTTATCTTTGCGAAGAAAACTAAATAGAAAACACAGGTCATGGTCGTATGCCAAGGCACGCAGGTCAAAGTAATATTTCGTATAAACACTGGCAGACACATGAATATTAAACTCAAGTAGCTCCAAAAAACTCTTCTCCATCTTACTCCTGGGGGAGGAGAAACACAATAAAGCGAACACAGGGCAATTTTAGTCAAGTGGGTTATCTTTAAAAATATCATTCTGAGCTACTAGGATGCTCAAAGTTCTGTTTTGAAACAAATAAAGACTGACTGGTTGGGTCCAAACAAGGCACAGCTGCTTGGGGTCTCCTGCATCCCAGCAGCCCAAGTTTGGGATGAGGGAGAGGTGGAAGCCTCTTCTGCACTCCTGCTGCTGCCTCGGGGCTTATTCTTCACAGTTCCCTTAGGGCAGCTGCGCAACTCAGACTCCAAGCTCACTCACAAACCCCGCAATAGTGATGAGATGACAGGAATGATGGGTACCATTTATTAGCTCTGAAGGAACTCCAGGCATATTTCCCAGGACAATAACAGGAAGGGACTTACTGAAGTAGAGAAGCACCAACAGGAAGATGGGGCACATCACCTTGGCAACACATGGACACATGGAGAGCCACCCTATTACCTCAGAGGAGGAAAACTGTAAGGCTACAAAGAGAATTCATCCCAAATAAATACATAAGCAAGATACATTTTATGGCAAAAAGAATCGCCTTCCCTCTGCTCCAGCACACTAGGCAATGTCAAGGAGGCATAATGCAAGTTTCTGCTCTCCTTAATATTAGGAAGAGACTGGGGAAGAATAACATTTACAATTTGAAAGGCAGAAAAGTCAAGGAGAGACATTTTGGCTAAACTCATTTTATAATGTGATTTATAGTAGGGCCCTGGCCTTAACACATGCAGTGTTGCTCTTGAGTTGGGAATACAACCCTGAAGAACTCGGCATCTGTCACCCCTGGACAGAAGAGAATGTGGGGGAGTTGGAGGCAATGGGAGAGGAAAGCACTGGGAGCCGTCCTCTGCCTCACGGTCATCCACCTGCCCTCACCAAAGCTAAATTAATAGGTACACAGTTAGAGTCATTCTGGCTTATTTCAGAGTAAGCCCTGTAATGAGTTAATTGCTTTAAAATGATCAGTATCTGAACAATACATTTGGTTCCTTGGTTTGAAAGTTTTAACCTTTTACCCATTGGCTAAGTAAGCAAATGCTTGAATGTGGAGGGCAGTTAGACTCTAAGTCAAGATGTGGGGATCTCATTTGCTGAACTTAAAACCCAACTGAACCTACTTCCAAAATTAATTTCCTGTTCACATATCCATAAGTCTATAGAAATGTAAATGAAACAATATTTGAGTAGACAGCTAATCAGGACGTGACTTACTACAGCAATTAATGGCACTTCCCAGAATTAACGTATCTATTAATAGAGGTTTAATCACTGGAGAAAAGAATTCTGTGTACAGACTATGCATCTTCTGGGAGTTCCTGTTTTTTAAACAGCCGGGTGATTGAATGGCATACCCTTTACAACACAGCATTTCTGCATAGTGGCTACTCAGTTTAACTCTCTAGAAAGAAAATATATTCTGGGGAGACACATCGATGTTGGAAAGTTTTAAGAATAATCTGATAGCCAGGCGCGGTGGCTCAAGCCTGTAATCCCAGCACTTTGGGAGGCCAAGGCGGGTGGATCACGAGGTCGAGAGATCGAGACCATCCTGGTCAGCATGGTTAAACCCCGTCTCTACTAAAAATACAAAAAACTAGCTGGGCATGGTGGCACGTGCCTGTAATCCCAGCTACTTAGGAGGCTGAGGCAGGAGAATTGCCTGAGCCCAGGAGGCGGAGGTTGCGGTGAGCCGAGATCACGCCATTGCACTCCAGCCTGGGTAACAAGAGCGAAACTCCGTCTCAAAAAAAAAAAAAAAAAAAAAAAAAGAATAATCTGATGGACAGCAGTTTTTTAATCTGTTAAACTGACACTCAAAATAGGATCACTGCAAACAGTCAACAGCAGTAGCGTGAGACACATGTCTATTAAATGCTTGGACGTAATGCTTTTCAGCTACCCAAGATCATAAACAGAAGCAGCCTGTTCAGACCATAGCTCCCGGTGTTTCTCCGTTCACACACAAACAGCTCTGTTTGGAGCCTGTCTTCTTAGGGCTGGCCTCTGCCTCCACTGCTTCTGGAGCTCACTTCTGTGGAAACCTGCACTTATCCCTGCATGCTCTCTGATCTTGTGACTGGAAATCAGAGCCCCAGGCAGCTTAGCTGCAGGTTTTGAGAACAATTCAGCTGCCAAAATGGCAGAACTAAGTGTTCATGATTTGAACAAATTTGAAACCACCTTTGCAAAAACTGTAACGGAGAAAATGATGACAGTGAAAGAGGATTGATGTGACTTCATCTCACTTCTAACCTCCAAGCTGTCCTTGTTCTTTCCTACACAGAGGCCAAACTAACTTTGGAAGGAATGTAGTTTGTAGTTTAACTTTGAAACCAAAGATGGTAACAACCCTTTCCCAAAACAAACCCCTTTCCCACCTGGGAACTAGATAGATGACCTTTCCACAACGAATAAATTAGCCACAAGATTAGAAATTGTGGCTTAGGAGTCATGAGGCTGAAGGCTGCAAGAATTTGAACCTGCCCATATTGATCCTGGGAATAACATCACTATTGTAAAACCTAAAATCAGTGCTTGAGATATTTTGAAGACCTTGTACTGGGATCAGGTGACACCACCCTAAGAAATAAACGTGGCTCATCTGGTTTTGTGGCCCCCCACTCTGGAGCCAACTCAATGCAGGAGAACAGCTTCAACTCCCTATGATTTCATCGCTGACCTGATCTGTCAGCACTCCCCACTTTCTGACCCCCTACCCACCAAATTAATCTTTTAAAAAACCATTCCAGAGTTTTCAGAGAGACTAAATTGAGTAATTGTAAAACTCTGGTCTCCCATACAGCTGTCTCTGCATGTATTCAACTCTTTCTCTATTGCAATTATCCTGTACTGATAAATCAGTTCTGGCTAGGTAGCAGGCAAGGAGAAATCAGGCAGTCACAAATCTTGCTTCCTTTGAGGGATCAGACTGCAAATGGATGACTACGATTAAACTCCCTTTAGCATTTGCAGCTTTCAAAGTACTTCCATTTGCTTCAAATTCATTTGCTGTCACACTCTTTGCTAAAATGGCTACCACAAATATCACAATGATCACTTGGTTTATACTATTAGCAAAGTGGTGGCAAAAATATATATATTTTTTTGTTTCTTAGAAAGTCTGGCTCCATCACCCAGGACTGGAGTGCAGTCACATGATCATAGCTCACGACAGCCTAAAGTTACCAGGCTCAGACAATTCTCCCACGTCAGACTCCCAAGTACCTGGGACTACTACAAGCACCTGCCAACACACTTGGCTAATTTTTTTAAAAAAATTTTGTATCTACAGGCTTCACTGTGTTACCCAGCAGGTCTGAACTCCTGTGCTCAAGTGATCCACTCACCTCAGCCTCCTGAAGGGCTGGGATTACAGGCATGAGCCACTGAGCTCAGGCATCAAGTGGTTATTTTTGAATGTACATATGTACACACTGCAGTATATCTAAAATATACACTATATCTTCCATTGTAGACATACACTGAGGTGATTCTGAGTAACCGTCCTATCTGGAGTCACAGGCAAAGATTACAAAACTAACTTGTGCCACTGCCTGGCATTGTCTTTTCTGCTGCTGCTCAACGTAAACAAGAGCTGCTCCTTTGTCTTGCACCAGATGCAGCCGACACAGCTGTCCTCACTGTCCATCGGGCACCCAGGGCAGCTCTGCTGGAAATGCCCCCCTGCTCACCCTGCCTGCCTGATTCAGGGCCCTTCACTTCACAGCAGTCATAAGGCCAAATGGGAAGGGAACCCTGGGAAAGCTGTGTTGCAGTGCCATGTTGGTGCATCTGGAAGGAACCCCATGACCCCGCAAGGCTCCCCGCACTCTCATAAACAACTACTGGCCCCCAGCCTGCTTTTATGAATGTCTGAGTACCCAGGGAGCCTGTGAGTGTGGTGGGCATGGGATGATGCCACAGAAATGCTTCTCACACTGCAGGAGGTGAATGTGGAAGCTTCTAACTCATCAGATCAATTTCCAAACACGTGCAATGTTCCCAATGGGGAGGATCCAGGGCACAGAAATTTGCAGCTACATCACATCTCAAGGTTCCTATAAAAATAGATATTCAGATTAAAGGGGGAGACAAGGACCAGCAAAAGCAAATACAAAATGCGTGACTTAGGTTAAAGCTGTAACTTCTGCATAGTCCAGAGGCTTATGTAAGACCTTAACAGTGGTCAATTATTTCAAAGGTCAGATGTTTGCCCCTTCAAAGGGGACGGAACCTGGCAGGTGGCTTCTAAAAACCTATAAAGATATTTACTGTACTGTGTCTTTCTGACAGCACACTTGTAAGAGGTTTGCCAAAAAACAATCAGAAAAACACTTTTCAGTTTATCAGCCAGTTATTACAACAATAACACATCAAGACTTACCCATTAATGCTGGAAAATATAAACTGTTATACTAAAGCTGGATAGATTGAAGTCTGTGGTCTTATGCCTATTTCCTTTATCTGCACAATGAAACCTATAAAGATATTTCTTACACTGATAACTTGGAGAGCAAATGAGGCATGGAAAATGATGACAAAGTTTGCCAAAACCTTAGAAACTCACATTGTCTCAACTGCAACATCCTTGGGATTCTGGCTGTCATCCGCACTCCAGTGACAATGATTTCCCCAAAACTTTGAGGCCAGAAGCGTGGCTCCGAGGACAATTTGTTTCCAATTAGTAGGACAAAGATCGATGTTAGCATTAGTTAAAAGGCGTTCAATGTACACCTGCCAAAGAGAGCACTTGTCTTTGATTTCAGTTGTTTCAGTGTGGTGATAAGCACATTTAAGAATGAAAGACTTCTGATTTTGGCCAAAAAGTAAGTGCCTTTTATTCTCATGTTCTGCAAAGACTTTGCTCAGACAGAGCAAGAGGCCAAGTCACAGTCATAGTCAGATACCTCTGCAGCATACTCTGCCCACAGAAATTTCCATGCCAATTTCATTCACAGGGATGTGAGCATGAAGAAAGGCACCTTCAGCACCTTCACACTCATGAAAGGCAGCACAAACACAGGCCTGGTGCAGATTAAGGTTGTTCAGGAAACACTACAGTGCCATCCGCGTGCAGCGTCACACCTGGCTGGCAGGTAGATAGGAAATTTACAGGTGTGCCATGCTCGAATGTGTAGCACCCAAGTCATACTGAGAACACTGCTGTCTTCTCCTTTTCACAGCAACTCACCCGCTTTTGGGACACAGGCTTAGGAACTGCGGGTCAAGAGTGCCTCCCAGTGCCTGCTGGGCAGACAGCAGGACAAGGGCAGGTCTCTGTTGCTGAGAAACAGTCCCTGTATTCAGTGCCTTGATGAGAAACACATGTGAATGAATGGAGGGTCCTGCTCACAGCCCCTGTTTTCCATGTCTCTACAATCACGTCACGAAAACTTATTTATTTATTTTTTTTTTGAGACAGAGTTTCGCTCTTGTTACCCAGGCTGGAGTGCAATGGCGAGAACTCAGCTCACCGCAACCTCCGACTCCTGGGTTCAGGCAATTCTCCGGCCTCAGCCTCCTGAGTAGCTGGGATTACAGGCACGCACCACCATGCCCAGCTAATTTTTTGTATTTTTAGTAGAGACGGGGTTTCACCATATTGACCAGGATGGTCTTGATCTCTTGACCTCATGATCCACCCACCTCGGCCTCCCAAAGTGCTGGGATTACAGGCTTGAGCCACCGAGCCCGGCCACTAAAACTTATTTTTTTATACAACAGTATCTGCATTCAGTCAATTCTGGGGGTTTGAAGGCAGAGGGAGCTGCCGGCCTCTGTATCCTTGGGGTGCCTCTAAACCTGTCAAGCAGTTTGTGAGATAATCTCAGAAAGTATTTCAGAAAGTATTCTCTATCTATCCAATCTCTATCCTATAAAGAACTGGGTGACGGACTAGCTGAGGGACAGTTACTGAGATAAGCTGTGAGATGTTGCTACCTCAGAGGGTGCTCTGTAGAAGAGTATGACTCTATGCTACTTGAAATCTTTGTATCAAGGTGAAAGGAAAACAGTTCATTTTTAAGAGAGTTCATTTATTGTATGAACATTATCAGATTGGTGGCTCAGATCTGGCAATGTTCTCCAAAGTCAACTGTGTTTTCCAAATCACATGGCCCTTGAACATGAC